AAGAGAAGCAAGGTAGGAATTGCTTCCCAGAATTTACCAAACACATCAGATTGATACATCACCAAGATGCAGCCCCTCACTCTGACCAGGAAAAGACAACCTCAGAAAGGGATGTAAGAGTTTCAGCCCTCAGTTTGACATACTGACTTGTGTCTCTGTGCCCCCATAGCATGGCCTTTGCTTTGAAAAAAAAAATATCTAGGGCAAGTTCTAATTTTATCTATGAAAAGTATTCTAAAATCCCTTTATACAGATAAAACAGAGATGATCCCCCTCTGTCAGAAAAGCCCACATGTAGTGTTATATCTTTAACAACCCTCTCCATTCATTCATCTGGCAAATCCAGAAGGGAACAAAGGATCAAATTGGCATGGTGAATTTACAAATAATAGCCAAACAAATTACAAGACTACAGATTTTTTTCCTTTTATTTGCAATAGCACTTTGGGGAATTTTTTGGAGATTGTTTGTCATTTAATGACCTCATTTCTAATAGCACCCTTGATGCTACCTGCTATGCAACCTCCATGATGCTCAGCAAACTGGAAACATCTTAAGATCCCACAAATGTAAAGAAATGTAAAGAAAAAGTTGCATTTGATAACTTCCCAGGACTGATCTGAGAATAGAATGAAGAAAGGCTCTTAAATAGCAAAAGCTACATTTTACAGGGGCCATCTTGGACTAGAAAAGATTCCTTGCCTGTAATTCAGTTTCCTTTCCTGTCCCTGCAACAAAAGGTTTGGTACATTTTAAGCTTCCCCCACACACCCCTCACTGGTTTTTTTGTTGCCTTTTTCTTTTCTTTAAATAAACCTTTTCAAATGCCACAGCTATTTTCTACCCATACAAAACAAACTCAGGGAAGACAAAACTGCCCTTACAACAATTTAACATGGTGTTTCTGATCTACATTACTGCATCTTCTGAGCAGATATGTAAGACCAAAAAGAGAAGCAATTTAAATCCACTTTTACCCTCTCCATTGCTTAAGTTACAGGTTCATCACAGTCACAAATGACTCTGCAACCAGACAACAACTGAGAAATAAAAATAAAGCCTATGTGCCACCTATAACAAACATGGATCCCAGGATTCTGCGTAACATGACAAGCTCTCCTGCTGTTAACCCAGAATCATGAACAACTATCCTGGTGAAGACATCTTTGAAGTGTTGCTCAAAAAGCAGAACATGTAATTGTACCAGGATCACAGAGTGACCAACTATGTGGGGTAACCACAAGCACCCCTCAGGGAGCCCTCACAAGCTCAACTGTCACAGAACCTGGGGTGTCAGTTAAAGGTGATTTTGCATAAGCTTACAGAGGCATGTCAGGTATCTTACACTCAGGTAGCACCTTAATGAAGAAAACTGACTGTAGATGTTCAGAATTTTTATGCAAATATAGGCCTCTGCACAACTCTCCTTGTTTTTATTTAAACTACAGTCTGACTTCAGTGAGTCCTTAAGCTTCAGAGGGTTTATCCTACCGGCTGGATTGAGGCACTAAACCAAACACATCCATGTTTACAAACAGTTTCACCACCCTCTGGCTTACTTTTTCAACATCTGCTTTTGTAACATTGATGTCAGCATCCATTTTCTCAAAATACTGCTGTGCTCTATCAGCTTCTTTGCAGTCACGTTCAAACCTCCTTTTGCTCTGAAAAGGAAAAGAGAAGCAAGCCTCCATTATAGGAAAGAAACATGATCTCAAAATCTACTTAAAATCAATACCTGTTCCTAAACTGATCTGTTTTAAGAATTGACAGATTTTAGGACTCACTTGTTTCCTTTGGAATAATCTCATAAAACAAAGGTACCAGAAACACATTTTGTTCAGTGCTTCATCCTGCTTGACTCCTCCAAAACCACCAGTAATTCCGTATTTTTCCCTCTTAGCACCTCTTCTGCTCTTGTAGACCAAATCACTCCCTTCCAACACCTCATTTTCCCAGTGCACATCAAGGGAGTTACTAAGATTCACCTATTTGCAAGTAGGACTCTTGCTTACTGATGGTCCCTTTATTTTTCCTCTCCTCTACTTACAGTCTCACTTCTCATTCATCACATGAACAACAAACCCAATGTATTTATTTTGAGAAACAGCACCTGACTCAAGAGATGGCCCCATTCCATTTATTCCCAAGTATGAAGCTGTTCAGCCTACAGAAGAATATCTGAACAGGACCCTCAGGGACTCTGCATTTCCAGCAAAACTTCTCAAGTCATATCAAATGAAATGCTACTCATGAGAGACACAGATCTCACAGAAAGCCAAATGTACATTTAAAACAGACTTTCTTGTGTCTACCAGACAGCAGAGTTTAAAAAAATCCTTTTTTTTTCCTACAGCCTTTATCCATAAACCCATCTTTTTCCAAATACAATGCTTGGAAACATATCTATGAAAACAGTGTAAAAATGTCACATGTGAGAGAGATTTTACTTACAGCTTCAAGTTGTTTCCAGCAAGTTTCAATATGTTGTTGTGCCTTTCTGCCATCATGGAAGTGCTATTTAGAAAAAGAAAAGAGGCAAATAAAACATTTTGAACAACAAAAGAACAGCCAATTATACTCAAGGAGTTCCAGAAAAAAACCCCAAAAATTACTCTGACAGCTGTGTTCTGCTACACTAGTAAATTGAGCAGGTGGATGATGACTATCTAAAGTCTCAGTAGGCTGCAGATGTATATTTGCATCAATTATAGTGGTTAGTTAGACCAAGGCTAATTAATCCCCTTAGCAATTCTACCTTGTATTGTTCACGCTATCTCATAATAATTGGTTTCCTGTATCACAAAATCTGAAGCACTTACATCTGAAAAGTATTTCTTTGGTTATTGATTGAACGTTAGCTCTGAATTAAAATTTCTCTCTACATGGAATTTATCAAGATGCCCTCAATTGGACAGTCTAACAACTGATGTTTGTCCTGATTTTCATTCAGATTCAATATAAAACCCTCTTCTTCCTAGTTCCTGGCTGGGTGTGCAAGGCCAGCTATTTTTTTCTCTTGAGGGGTTTTCAATTCTTTGGGTCCCTCCAGAAACCTTCCTCACCCACATACACTGAGGTGTTACACAAGTTTTAAAGATGTGATGTCAGCTACATACTAAATGACAAGGCAATTCTCCTGACGTGGCTTTTGGAGCAAGACTTTCAATGGCAGTTGGTTTTAACAACCATTCTTACCCCTTACACAATGCCCTCCATCAGGGAATTAATATGCTTTAGATATTACTGCCTCTACCTCCCAGACACTTTATTTTTCCTCAGGGTAAGCAATTTATTCAACATCACTGCATACATCCACAACACAGCTGTAAACAGCAATGTTAATATAGCCTCAACTCACTGCTAGGACAGGTCCACTTTCAAACCATCTTGCATAATAAATATTACTGCAAACTATGAACTGGAAGAGAGATTCTTTATTCCTGGCAGTGAGGATGCTTCACTCACACACAGGAATGGTTTCATGCAGTCAACATGAAAAATAAAAGTCTAATATTGCCAGATAATCCCACTGCAGCCCACCAGAATTCATGCTGCCTGAGCATCATCAGAAATCAGAGCTTCCTTGAGCAGCATATTAACAGGCTGCAGGGTAGAAAAGCTCCAATTTCAGAACACCAGCCTGCCACAAACAGCCAAAGTTATGAAGATATCCGTGCAAGCACTTCATAACTGGCAGCTACTTAGTTTCCTGCATCTTTCCACTAAAGCAACTGGTATTTTCCTCTGTCAGGTAATGTGTTAGTGCTATTTCCTAGCTGCCTTTCTGTCTCCACCAGATATGCCAGTAAAAATCTCCAGAACTGCAACTTCTCTGTCACACTGTGTCCAACAGACCTGTTGTGCCTGAAAAACCACAATAACCTTCAACTTGTCTGTGAGACCAGAATACCACCAACACTACCCTGAGTGCTCTGGACACTGCTACCCCTTGTCCCAGGCACTGTCAGGAATGAATGCTCAGTGACACCTGAACATAGGGACACTCTATAGCTTTAACTTTCACCTCTTGCCAAAAGACACTTTTGCCATGAACTCTGATGTTTTGAGTGCAGTTCAGACCCCTGCTCACCACACTAGGCCTCTCCAAAAACTCCACGTCACCACGTGATGACAAAAAAAAAAAAATCCAAACAAAACACAAACCAAGTATAATTGTAAGACTGCTGGGGAAGTGGGGAAAGGTTCCAAGTTGATTGTAGTGCCTTTTCTATCTCCCTCTTTCCTTTCAGCTCTGTGACAGATACTGCATCTCCCTTGCCAGGAGGCTTTGAAAGGCTCATTTCAAGCTTGCTTTTGTAATTAGTTTAGGAATACAGTCCCAGGGAACAACTGTTATTTAACTCTACTTTTTTTTTTTCTTCTTTACATTGTGCTAATGAGCATGGAATTCATGAAAAATCTTTTAACAGGGAAGCTGCAAGTAAAATTACTCAGCTGTTTTCATACTGCACTTCCAGCCTCCACCAGTCTTTGTTTGTGTGCTTCCCTCTTCTCCGACTTTGCTGGAGTGTAGGAAGGGACTTGGATTTAGGAACAGCTGGCCTGCATGAAACCTAATACTGTCAATGACCTATAAACCTTAGGAAAACAACATGCCAGATTAATTTAACAGAAAACAATTGTAGGCTGAAGGAAGAACTTGGAATCAAAAGCATATCAGATAACAGGACTACCCCAACCTCGTATTTTTAAACTACTCTGTAGTTAATCAACGATGTAATCTTAATTTTGCAGGAGCCATTCCTCTTGTTTCCAAATGTACTTTTGCTGCAGAATAAGCTCTGCAAACTGGTGGAAGTACAGAGTGTAAGCCTGACTCTTGTCCTGTCGCTACTCACTAGGGAGACCAACACCAACCTCACTACAATCTCCTTTCAGGTAGTTGAAAAGAGCAATGAGGTCTCCCCCTCAGCCTCCTCTCCAGGCTTAACAGCTCCAGCTCCCTCAGCCTCTCCTCATAAGACCTGTTCTCCAGACCTCTAATCAGCTTAGTTGCCCTTCTCTGCACCCTCTCCAGCACCTCCATGTGTTTCTTATACTCTGGCGCCTAAACCCGCACACGGAGCTGGAGGTGCAGCCTCACACCAACGCAGAGCGCAGAGGCAGGATCCCTCCCTGGTCCTGCTGGTCACGCTATTCCTGATGCACGCAGGATGGTGTTGGCCTTCTTGGCCACCTGGGCACACTGCTGGCTCACGTTCAGCCCCTGTCAGTCAAGCATACCCAGGTCCCTCTCTGCTGGGCAGCTCTCGGGCCACTCCCCTCCAAGCCTTTAGCTCAGCTGGGGGTTGTTGTGGCCTAAGTGGCAATCAAGACAGTATAGTTAAAAACTCATACAGGAAGCCTCCAGTTTCCTCAACCCCTGTACTAGCTTCAACTTCTGCAAACCCACTTCCTTTACTTTAAAATCTTCCTAAACAGCAAACGCCTTTTAGCTTCTCCCCCATCAAAAATAGCAAAAGTAACTTTGAGATCAATTTTTCCTTGATAAGGTTTCAATACAAGCTCTAATTTGCATCTTTTTTTAAATTCGAATGAAACAGTTGGTTATTCTACATGGGATTCAGCAAATAGGAACATGACAAATGATTTAGCAAATCATATGGAAAACTACCATTCCTAATTAGTCACACATTAGTCAACAACACATAGGGATGAATTTAGAGCAGTTGACACAATGCAGAATTATTTTTTCCCCCTAAACTAATGGACCCTAATTAGGATTTCTATTTAAAAAAACCTCAGATTACAAGCAAGATACCAACTTAATGAATCACACTTCAACACTTGGAGTAGTCTTGGTTGTTCACAGCCATGATTTCCCTCACGTTTTTTGGCCATACCGACAGCATTCAAAGCACATGTTAAAAACACACAAAAAAGTTGGTTTTATTTATTCCATCCCCCTCAATCACCTGTTAACCTATGCTTTGAAGAATTGAGATAGCAGTCATCACGCCAAATTCAAGATTTCCCTAACAAATACTTGATGCAAGCTACTAAACAGCTTAAAACACAGCATCACCTAAACCCAAACCACTTTGGCTACATGACCACAACTCTTTAACTCTTTTCACTGCTTTAACAGCATTAGGATGTCACAGGCTGCTCTGAACAATCCATAATGAGCCACGTTTGGACTGGAGGTCTTCATCCATGACCACACTCACAAAATAAGACACCTAAAACCTAGACTGAGGGGGTTGTGAAGACTTCAGATATTTTCATCACGGTATTAAGTTGCTTATTTGAAGACTGTGGATTAGATCAACTTTTAATTTTGTTTTATAATCTCAAAATGCCCAGCTCAAGGTATACTCAGCTGCAGTAAAGGAAAAGCAGCATTAGAAAGAGCAGGAAATCCATGTAAAGACAGAGCATGAGTTATTTTCCTTCTCAAATCAAGCCATCCCTGGTGTGCTCTCCTCGTGGCCACACTGACAGTGCTCAGAACAGCTGGGGAGAAATCCTGGCTGCTGTGCAATCCCAGACAAAACTCCCTTTGACTTTTGTTTGGCTCAGATTTCACCCATGTTGATCAAAACACTGGGAGCAGCGAGGAACCTCCAGTTCAGAGCCGGTTACTGCCAATGCTGCTACAAGCAGTAGCAGTGGGATATTTTTTAACAACTTTTTTGGTATGCAAGGGGGTTTACCCAGCCATGCAGCTCTCAGAGGAGACAACAAAAGCTTGGTAGAAGATGGGTCTTCTTTCTGGCCTTTTGAGAGGAGTAGTACAATAGCAAGATGTCATCAAAAGCATCTTATGAATGACAATAAAGTCCAGTAAATTTGCTGAGGAATTTCTGAGCAGTTTTAAATGTGACAACTTCCTATTTAAGAACTGCAAAAGAAAGATACATGCCAAGGCTTCTCCATTCCAAACTAGGCAATAGAACACACTGAAAATACAGTTAGCTTGGACTAAAACTGGCCCTCTCAGCTCATATGGATGGTGCATCTAAACACAGTCCTAGCAATGTAGTACTTCCTGCTCTCATTCAAGCTCCATCTCCATTTTTGTTAGAAGTGATTCCTAAACTAACCAGCCAGTGATTAAAACACACTGGAGATGGAAATTAGAGAACATTATTTTTTTTCCTCAATTTTCCCAGCTCAGTTCACAAGAAGCCTTGTAAAATGCTTTTCCTGGCTGCAAAGGCAGGAAGCAGCCTCCTGAGAAGAAATCTTTGTTTCCAAGAATAGCAACATGCTTTTGAGGTCTTATCTCTCTCATTTGTAACCAGAGTAGCATAAGGCAGTCTTGTGAACCTTGACATGAAACACATGACCATCTTCACATGTGTTCATCAGTGCTACTTCTTGATGTTGTGGCATAACACTGTTCTCCTTTGCAACCTTCCATGTGAAGCTTCATAGAGCTATCAACTAGGTCAAACCTGAAACATGTTACATGAGTATCTGATCAAAGTTGACCTTAATTCCACTGGAATTGCCTCCTTTTGAAGCAGTACCTTCCAAAGGAATCCCAG